CTAAAGCCCTGTATAAGTCCATGAGCCCTTTCTCTTCTATTACTTCTTTCAAAGCCAATAATTCCTTGCTGGGTTTTGTTCTTGTTGATCTATCCAGAGGTGATAAGGCGATGTTGAAGTCTCCAAGTACTATTGTGTTGGTAGTGATGTCCTCCTTAAAATCTGTTAGCAGTTGTTTTAGATATTTAGCTGTTCCCTCATTAGGTGCGTATACATTTAAGAGTGTGATTTCTTCCTGTTGTACGTATCCCTTGATGAAGAGAAAATAGCCTTCACTGTCTCTTCTAATCTTTTTCAAGGTGAAATTAATGTTGTCGGATACTAGTATGGCCACCCCAGCTTTTTTGAGGGAGTTGTGTGCTTGCAGGATTGTTTTCCATCCTTTGAATTTGAGTCTGTGTTTGCTCTGGCTGTTGAGGTGAGTTTCTTGTAGGCAGCAGAATGTTGCGTTCTGTCCCTGTATCCATTTTGCCACTCTGTGTCTCTTAACTGGTGAATTTAGGCCGTTGACATTGAGAGAGAGAATGGTTATGGGGTTTTGTGTCATCTTTCTGTGCGGGTGTGTTGTGGTTGTAGGGTTTGTCTTTTCTTATAGTAGCCCCTTTAGGCCTTGCTTTAGGTTTGGTTTTGAGTCTATGAAGTTCCTGAGCTGCTGTTTATCTATAAAATAGTGTACCGTTCCTTCGATTTTGAGGGAGAGTTTAGCCGGATAGAGTATTCTTGGTGAAGCATTCATTTCCGTGAGTTTTTTGACTATATCTCGCCACTGCCTTCGGGCTTGTAGGGTTTCCTCTGATAGGTCTGCTGTGAATCTAAGGGATGCTCCTTTGTATGTGATTTCCTTCTTTGCTCTTGCTGCTTGCAGTATTGTGTCTCTATCGGCAGTATCGATCATTCTAACTATGATATGTCATGGAGTGTTTTTTTTGGGGTCTCTTTTAGCCGGCACCCTTCAGGCTCCTTGAACCTGAATGGCTGCATTGTGCAGCTCTGGGAAGTTTTCAGCAATGATTTGTTTGACGGTGTTTTTTTCGTTGGTATTGTTTCCCTGAGGTTCAGGTAGTCCCATGATTCTAATATTGTTCCTCTTGGAATCATCTGCTAGGACTCTGATTCTCTGTAGAGCCATTTTGAGGTCCCTTGCCACTGTTTGTTGTTGCGTGTTGGCTTGTTGCAGCTGATCTTCCAGCTCACTGATTCTCTCTTCAGCTGCGGTCATTCTATTTTTAAGAGAAGAAACTGAGTTTCTCATTTCATCTATGGAATCTTTTAATCGTGACATTTCTGCTCTCATTTCTTCTCGTAATTCGTCGATTTTTTCTGTGGTGTTACTGGCTGTCTGTCTGACTGTTTCATTGAGTTGATTGAACATCTTGATGACTTCGTATCTGAATTCTATGTCAGAGAGGTCCCTTAGGTGAGCTATATTGACGGAATGTTCTAGATTGTTTTCGTTGTTCTCCCCTTGTGGTGAGGATTTTTCTTTGTTTCTTCATATTGCTGAGTAGGTTGGGAACTAGATTCCTTGGGGACTAGGTTCCTTAGTATGGGAAAACAAACTTCTGCCTGAAATTAAGCCATGCCCACTTTTGAGGCCACGCCCACTTCGAGGAGGCCACGCCTCTACAGAACCCTGGGTTGGAGATGAGATGGGCGCCGCGGTCAGGAGTGAAGAGGGCAGGGCAGACGCTCAAAACTGCTTCTCTTCAGGCATCTCGGGGGACACCTGAGGTCCTGCAGGGAAAGATGGAGGTCCCAGGGTCCTGAGCCGGCAGTTGTGCTGACCTGGATTTAAGATGAAATGGGCGCCAGGGTCAGGAGTGAAGAGGGCAGGGCAGACGCTCAAAACTGCTTCTCTTCAGGCATCTCGGGCCTGAGTTGTTTCTATCTCGTTCCCTTAACAAGAATACTTTCATCATTTTCAATATTTGAAAAAATTCAAGAGAACTATAGAGGAAGACCAGAAACAATAAAGAAATGTAGTTCATCATCATCAATGATCATATTGTCACTGTAGAGTCAGGGACTATGGAGGGAGACCAGAAACAATAAAGAAATGTAGTTCATCATCATCAACGATCATATTGTCACTGTAGAGTCAGGGACTATGGAGGGAGACCAGAATCATAAAAAAGGAAATTTGTATAGATGTTTTACTTAGAGTAATGACAGTGCTCTGAACTCAGGAATCACTCCTGCTGGCAGTCAGGGGACCATATTGGGTGCTGGGGATAGAACTGGGGTTGGCTGCATGTAGGTTACAATGGCTTCATACAACCATGTGCTTTTGAGGAGAATGCCAGGATCTAGAACGTGATCCCTCCTTAAAGAAAGTCAGGCATTGAGGTTCCTTGAAGAGAGGGTAGCACTATTTCTTGGCAGAATGTTAGAGTCTAGAAAAAGTAGAGAAAATAGGGGACACTTTTCATAATATTATTTGTTGGGTCCTTGCCTTTTTTACCAGAGTTATGGCAAAATTGAACCTGCTGGTTCTAGATATTAAGCTCTTCTGACTAACGAATGGTGAGTTTTTTTGGAAGATGTTTTGGGTTTTTTGTTTGTTTCTGCTTTATGGGTCATATCTGCCAATATTCAGGGGTACTCCTGACTCTGCACTCAGAGCAGAGTGCATCATAAACAACAATCATAATATTGTTATTCCTGGCTATATTGAGGGACCATATGAGATGCCAGGAATTGAATCTAGGTCAGCTACATGCAAGGCAAGTGGATGCAAGCCCTACCCACTGTACTATTGCTCTGGTCCCCTGGGAAGATGTTTCAGAATGTTTGAGGTAGAGAAGAAGATCCCATGAGCTTTAGGGTGTACTAAATATTACTTTTTTTTTTTTTTGCACTGTTGCATTGTCCTTGGGCTGGAGCAAGCACAGCGGTAGGGCATTTGCCTTGTGTGCAGCCAGTTTGGCCGAGTTGGGTTCGATTCCTCTGCCTCTGTCGGAGAGCCCGGCAAGCTACCAAGAGTATCTCACCCACACAGCAAAGCCTACCCATGATGTATTCAATATGCCAAACACAGTAACAACAAGTCTCACGATGGAGACGTTAATGGGCCCGCTCGAGCAAATCGATGAACAATGAGAGGACAGTGCTACAGTGTAGTGCTAGAGTGCACAGTCCTCCCATTATTCATCAGTTTGCTCGAGCAGGCACCAGTAACGTCTCCATCGTGAGACTTGTTGTTACTGTTTTTGGCATATCAAATATGCCATGGGGAGCATACCTTGTTTTATTTTATTATTACATTTTTTTTTTTCCTTTTTGGGTCATACCCAGTGATGCTCAGGGGTTACTCCTGGCTCTGCACTTAGGAATCACTCCTGGCAGTGCTTGGGGACCCATATGAGATGCTGGGGATTAAGCCCAGGTCGGCCACGTGCAAGGCAAATGCCTTACCCACTGTGCTATCGCTTCGGCCCTATTACCTTGTTTTTTTTTTCTTTTTCTTTTTTTTTCTTTTTGGGTCGCACCTGGTGATGCACAGGGGTTACTCTTGGTTCATGTACTGAGGAATTACTCCTGGCGGTACTCAGGGGAATCGAACCCGGGTCGACTGTGTGCAAGGCATACACCCTACCCACTGTGCTATCACTCCAGCCCCCCCCCCCCCCCCAATTACCTTGTTTTAATTCTTTGATTTGGAGATGCAATCAGGGGTCAAAACAAAATGCCACCAATTGATGTACCACTGATTAAGAAAGAAAGTCCTACAGTTTTATTATTTTTTTTGTACAATACATTTTGATTCTTAGTGAGAGGAAACAAGTATGACTTAGAAGTAATTAAAATGTGATATGCTGTGTGAAGATATAAAAGTTATAGAAGAATATGACTTTCTTTACAACTTTCAGTTACCTAGATATAGGGAGAATTTCTTGAAACCAAGGATTCATTTCATGTGAACAAAGAAAAAATACTATAGAAAATACATGGAAGGAGTTAATACCAGATGAACTTGAAATTTATTTGAATTATAAATGAATTTTAACAAGTCTGTTTCATTATTTAAGAGTAGATACAAGGTTTTCCTATAAAATGAAATTGAGCTCCCATATAACACAGAAATACCACTTCTGGAAATCTACCTTGGGGGCCCAAAAACACATAGCAGGAATGCCATCTGCACGTCTATGTTCATTGCAGCACTATTCACAGTAACCGGATTCTGGACGACCTGAGTGTTGGAAAACAGAGGACTGGATAAAGAAACTATGACACATCTACACAGCCGTTAGGAAAAATGAAGTCATGAAATTTGCTTATAAATGGATGGAGATGGAGGGTATCATGCTGAGGAAATGAGTCAGAGGAAGAGGGACAGACATAGAATGACTGCACTCACTTGTGGAGCATTAAGAAAACCCCATAGTATGAGACTGATACCCAGGAACCATAGAAACACAGGCCAAGAGGTTTGGTCCATGGTTGGAAGCCTGCCTTAGGTGTTGGGGGAGAAGGCAGTTGGGATAGAGAAGGGGCCACTATGACAATGATAGTTGGAAACAATCATTCTGGGTAAGAACTGTGTGCTCAAAGTAGGTAAAAGAACAAATATGATAACCTCTCAGTATCTGTATGGCATACCATAGAGGCAAACTCAGGGTAGGGGGAGGGAAACTGGGGTCATTGGTGGTGGAAAGTGTACACTGGTGGAGGGATGGATGTTGGAACATTGTATGACTGAAACCCTAGCATGAACAGCTTTGTAACAATGTATCTCACGGTGTCTCAAAAAACCTATTCACTAATAATCTTGGAACATTGTATGACTGAATCCCTAGCATGAACAGCTTTGTAACAGTGTATCTCACGTTGTCTCAAAAAACCCATTCACTAATAAACTTTTAATTCAGTGTAGAATTTCTATTGTCTAATAAACTTTCAATTCAGTATAGAATTTCTATTATTTTATAAATATCAGTTGATAAAAGATAATTTATAAGGTGGTTTTTTTTATTGTATTTTTCTCCTTCTCTATGCAGGTATCTTATGTCATTCCAGTTGAAGGAAAAGAACATATTGTTCATTTGGAAAGGAACAAGTAAGAAATTTCATTTACTTTGATTTTTTTCAGTAATTTTTCCCCAATGGTATATTATTTATTTTAAAACTAGTTAGTATAGTAGGTAGATAGAAAATAAAAATAATGAGTAGAAGTGTGGAAAAGCCATGGCATTTTGTATTACCAGTGACATTGAAGCAGGGGAAAATACATTTAAATAAAAAGTTGTATTTAAGATGAAAATTTTATAATGGAGCAGGGATAAAGTAGTCTTTAGTAGTTTTATCAGTTAGCTAAAGCTGCCACAACAACAACAACAAAAAAACAGAAACACAAATGACTTAACAAAAATTGATTTTCTTACTGTTCTAAGTCTAAGGTCAGGTGCTGGTGAGGTTGGAGTCCAGTGAGAGCCCTCCTCTAGGTGCTCTCATGACTTCTCGTTTGTACCTGCAGGGTAGGATTGGGGAGGAAGAGGTGCAAGCCTTCTCTATCTGTGTCCCTGAGGACATCAGTCCTGTCTGCTCACGTCCTCACCCTTGTGACCTCAGTTAACTATAAATATAGCTTTTGTACTTCCTTATCTGTTATAGTCACACTAGTATTTTGTGTGTGTGTGTGAGAGAGAGAGAGTGAGAATGAGAGAGAGGGGGAGAGAGAGAGAGAGAGAGAGAGAGAGAGAGAGACAGAGAGAGAGACAGAGAGAGAGAGAGAGACAGAGAGAGAGAGAGAGACTCGGGGTCTGTGCAGTGCCTGGAGTTTAACTAGTCCTGCATGCACTCCCTCTAGCCTTCAACATCTGAATTTTGGGTGTCAGGGAGGAGACAGAGATTCATTTTGTGACAGTGCTCTTCTCTTCATCCCGTTTAAACCCTCCTTTATTTTGGCATGTTAGAACCTGACTCAGTAATCTGTGCTCTCCAGTCGCCTCCGACGAGCCAAGTCTCTGGTTCCTGGGCCATTCTCTCTTCTGTGGTCTGTCACCACCTCCCTAACGCCCTGTACCTGCTTCCTGTATTTTGATTGAGTCATTCCAGAGAAGGATTAAGTCACCTACTAGGCCCTTGACCCTGGGGTGTGTGAATGAGACCGTTAGGTGTGGTTGTTAGGGCAGTGTTGTTCAAAATGTGCTGGCCAGTGGCAGCACCATCTAGGATTATAACCGCAAGTGTGTCCGATCAGGTCTGACCCGAGAGTGGATCAGAATTCTGAGACGTGTCATAGTTGGTTGTCGCAATCTATGTTTTCGAAAGCAAGTTTTCCAGATGATTTTTTTGTTTGCATCTTCAAGTTTGAATAATACTATACACTGTAATATGCAGTGAATTATATTTTTCAGAGACTTTCTGAAGGCTTCTATTTTTTTGTTTGTTTTTTGGCTTTTTGGATTATACCCAGTGATGCTCAGGGGAGACTCCTGGCACTGCATTCAGGAATCGCTCCTGGTGGTACTCAGGGGAACCATATGGGATGCTAGTGGTTGAACCCTGGTCAGCTGCATGCAAGGCAAAGGCCCTACCTGCTATACTATCACTCTGGCCCCTATTTATTTTTTTGTTTTTGGACCACACCCAGTATTGCTAAGGGGCTGATTCTGGCTCTGCCCTCAGGATGTACCCTTGGTGATGTTCAGGAGACTATATGGGATGTCAGGGATCAAACCTGGGTTAGCTGCATGTGGGCAAGAGTCCTACCCATTGTACTATCTCTCCAGCCCCGACTTCTTCTCTTTTTGATGGAAATTGATACACAAATTGGGCTGGAGCGATAGCACAGTCGGTAGGGTATTTGCCTTGTATGCAGCCAACATGGCCGACCCGAGTTTGATTCCTCCCTCGCTCTCAGAGAGCCTGGCAAGCTACCGAGAGTATCTTGCCCACACAGCAAAGCCTGGCAAGCTACCCGTGATGTATTCGATATGTCAAACAGAATAACAACAAAGTCTTACAATGGAGACGTTACTGGACCCCCTCGAGAAAATCAATGAACAACGGGAGGACAGTGACAGTGACAGTGATACTTAAATTATTTAATTTATTTTTTTAAATTTTTTTTTTATTAGTGAAACACCATGAGGTACAGTTGTAGATTTACAATTTTTTGTGCTTGGGTTTGATTATACAATGATCAGATACCCATCCCTCCACCAGTGCCCATTTTCCACCACCATGGATAATATCCCCCCCACCCCCATCCCCCATCCCCCCCTGCCTCTGTGGCAGGGCAATCCCCTGTGTTCTCTCTCTCCTTTTGGGTGTTGTGGTCTGCAAAAGAGGCATTGAGTGGCAAACATGTTCAGTCCATAGCCTACTTTCGACATGCATCTCCCCTCCTGGGAGGATCCTCCAAACACCCTTTATTTGGTGTTCCCTTCTCTATCTGAGCTGCCCTTTCCTCTAGAATGCCCGACTGGCCACTAAGCTATGGAGTAATCCTCCTGGTGCTGATCTCAGCTATTCTTGGGTATTAATCTCATATTTTGTTACTTTATATCCCCCAGATGAATGCAATCTTTCTATGTCTACCCCTCTCTTTCTGACTCATTTTGCTTAGCATGATACTTTGTATGTAAATTTCATGACTTCATCTTTTCTAAGAGCTACATAGTACTCCATTGTGTAGATGTACCAAAGTTTCTTTAACCAGTCATCTGTTCTTGGGCATTCAGGTTTCTTCCAGTTTCTGGCTATTGTAAAGAGTGCTGCAAAATTATTTAATTTTTACCAGCTCCTGAAAAATCCTTAGACTCTAATGTATGATGTAAATATGTAAAAAAATATAAGTCTAAATATTTTCTACAAGAGATGTAAATAATTAAGTTTCAATAAAATAATTTCCTTATGTTTGCATTGTTTCAGCTAACCCTTTTATATCATATTGTCATAAAAAGTTTATTGTAGAGTAGAATTTATTGTTGTCTTATATATAAGAATACTTAGGTTTTGGAAGATGACTTGTTCAGCCTCATAAAATTTGTAGATTTTTAAGCGTCTCTTGAAAAGGCTCCAGAGTTCTCACCCCACAGACCTGCCTTCCCTGGGAAGACTTAGCAGTGGCAAGATTAGTTGTGGAGCCATGAAGCTGGGCTGTTTCTTTGTTGGAGGATGTCTGGTGTGGGTGGGCCACAGGAACTCTCACCCTCACCCCAAGAAGGCTCCAGAGATCTGGGCCTGGAGAGAGTGATGTGTCTTTGAGTTTAGTCCAGAGTATATTTCAAGGGAACTCAGTCATACGTTTTGTGAAAGGTGTTGCATAATATATTAGTCAGTTAGCTAAAATCAGTCTGCATAACCTACAAAATTGTATGCAAATAATCTTTCCATCTCAAACAATATAGTCAAGCTTGTCCTGAGTAACTCCAGTGGGAATTTTCAACTTTGAATAATACATTATAAACTGCTAGCGAGCATTGCACTCCTGGCTCCATCTGCAAGTTTTGAAGTTAAAAGTTTAGAGCTGCTCTATATCTTCTGTAAGAAGATATTCTTTGCTTGGACAGCCTTTAGTCATACTTCAGACTCTTCTCCCAGGCTCAGCTGTGCACTCACTGTCTTGTAAGATCCAGTTTGACAGCAGGAACTGGATGACTTGTTCAGCCTCATAAAATTTGTAGATTTTTAAGCGGCTCTTGAGAAGGTTCCAGAGTTCTCACCCCACAGACCTGCCTTCCCTGGGAAGACTCAGCAGTGGCAAGATTAGTTGTGGAGCCATGAAGCTGGGCTGTTCTCTGTTGGAGGATGTCTCCATCCTTGATGTGTAATCTCTGTGGGTATGTGATCAGCTTCCTTTTTGTCTGCCTTTCTGCTGGTGACGTCTAACCCGCTTTCCTGTCTTATGCAAGAAGCCTGCTGACCACTGTAGCTACAACTTCTTTCACCTAACATTTTCCTTAGGTTTTATCCACTGTGCTCCTCAACTTGCATTCTAGTTTTCACAGAAAAGAAGGATTATAATGGTTAAAAAAGTCATGCTCAGCATATGTGAATGAAACTTCTAGAAATAAGGGCAGTGAGAAAATCATATATGCAAAGACTGTGAGATGTTTCTGGTGAGGAAAAGTATGAACTGAACGATATGTTTTTGTTAGGGAAAAAGAATAACTTTATCCTAAAGTAAAAGGACTAATTGTTTCAGAGTGAGAAAGAAGGAAATAATAGGACAAAAATCAAGACATGTAAAATCTTACCAGAAAATTTATAATGTTGGAAATGTCCCTTGTTAGGGTCAAAGCTGACCAAGTATGGATAGATTTGTTTGTCACTGTCACTGTCATTGTCATTGTTCATTGATTTGCTTGAGTGGACCCAGTAACGTCTCCATTGTGACACTTGTTACTGTGTTTGGCATATCGAATATGTCACGGGTAGCTTGCCAGGCTTTGCTGTGCGGATGAGCTTGCCGGGCTCTCCAAGAGGGGTGGAGGAATTAAGGAAAAAATGTTTGTGGGCTGGAATGATAGTATAATGGGATAGTCTAATGTCGTGCACACAGCCCACTAGGCTTTAATATCTGGTCCCACATATGATCCCTCTAAATGACCCAGAGTCATCACTGAGTGCAGAATCTTAGGCAAGCCCCGAGCATAGCTGGCTGTGGGCCCCAAAACAAAAACAGCTACAAAATTAAAAAAAAATTGTCTTAGAATGAAAAGTATATGGTTTAATGCAAAAGAAGATTTTTTTTTTTTTTTTTTTTATTTATTTATTGAATCACTGTGGGAAAGGTTACAAAGCTTTCAGGTTTATGTCTCAGTCATGCAAATATCAAACACATTTCCCTTTACCAATACTTATTTTTTACCATGAAGAACCCCAATAAAACCCCACCCCCCACCCCTCCCCGTCCCTGTGAGGCAGATGAATTCTAGTTAACACTCTATCTGCTTTGATTAGATTCATTGTTTCAATAAAAGATTCACCACTATTATTTAGAGTTTACCCCCCCCCCCAAATCAGACATGCTGAAAAAGCATTGTGAAGTGATTTGCTTTCTACGGCTGGGTTCAAGAATTAAATGTTGGTTTTGGATTTCTGCTCTTT